GTTGGTATTTGAGGGGCTATCTTAGGAAGTTTGAACCCCTTCCTTTTTTCTTAAAACACTTGGATATCAAACCTAGGGTCCTGAGCCTTTCCGAGGAAATTAATTTGTAGCCTTGTGGTGTTAGATTAGGGTCAATATGGCTTTTCTTTTTTTCCTTTTAACATTGGGTAGACATACCAGAGGCTGCAGGATTTTGGTGGTCTCCAGGTGGTTTCCATTTGTGGATTGCCAACATCCCATGTGCAAAATACAATACCCCTCTAGTAATTGGCTAAACATACACTTGGTTAGTTGGAAAGATTGGAAATTGAGGTGCCTCAGGGTCATAAAACTTACTGTTCTCTTTAAGGCTGGGGTGGTATTGCTTGGTTTTACCAAAGCATCTTCATAATTTCTGGTCTTGGTGGTTACAAAGAGAAGCCCTTTCCATGAGGCTAAATTGTAACATCTAATTCGGTAACATTCCCATATTCTGGGAGAGATGCTGAGAGAGAACTGATGAGTAATGTCTCTGGAAGCTCTCAGGGTCTGAAGTCCCACTGTGCCCAAACAAGGCTGGTTCCCAGAGGAGAAAAGGGAAGTTTGTATTAGAACCACTGCCAGTTTAGTGTCCATGCATCTCCCTGGCCTCTGACCCCATTCAGTACAGACCACTTGCATGCTGGTGTGTGTTCTCTGGTAAGGCAGATTTGGAATCGACCTATTCACACCTATTTCTCCCTAACCACTTGCCATTCTTATGTCACATTTTTCAGTTTCTTGGAAAAGTGAGTCAGTTTTCTGAATGTCACATCTTACAAATTTGTAGTACCTCTATAATTTTAAATACAAGTAATAGCACACGTAGTGGCTTCTAATTATAAAACCAGAAAAATCCTGTGCTTTGCACACAGAGCAGGTTCTTGATCTAGTAGGGCCCATCCTCCACTAAGAAAAGCAAAATTAGTCTGAGACAGAATGCCAACATTCCGTATGTATTTGTGACAATGTAAGAGACAAAGCCATTGCCTTGGGGTAAGGAGGCCTGGTTTCAGTCTAGATCTGTCTCCTGATTTGGCTACCACATGGGGTGAATTCTTTGGCCTTCCAGGCTTCTGGTGTCCTGTCTGTACCACAGCCAACCTAGCTCCTAATTCTCTTGATCATGGGGGAAAGTGAGGCTTGGGTGGAAAACCTCAGGGGAACCAGGTCTTTAATATCAAGTGATTGTGCTTTATGAGTTGTTTGAAAGAAAATGCAGTCCAGCTCTTTTACGAGAAAGGTCTCCGGTAGATTTATAGCCAGTCTTAGGACTCTGGCATGGATTGAATGAAGCTTATGAACCTAAATTGATCTCAAAAGGAACTCAAGGTTGAAAAAGAGAGTTTGTGATATTATAGATGGTACTTTGCCATTTCTATAATGAGGAGATCCTTGTATTTTCTTCTGTCTGAAGATCAGTCAGGCTCTTTGAAGGTGAGGAGTAATGAATCAACAGATCGCCTTCCCCCGGAGTGACTGTCTTCCTCATGTTGGCGCTCCCCGTCCGTTGAGAGGCATTCTTGCTGCCCGGCGTTCTGTGCATCTCCTCATGATTTCTTTCTTTCTTTTTTTTTTTTTTTTTTCCCCCTACTACATTTCTTCCTGGCTGATAGAGACAGCAGTTCTGAGAGCTGAGGACGGTGTGCCAAGTGGCCCCGTTCCGGGGAGGGATGCAGAGAGGAGCTGTGTGGTTCTTTCCTCACACTCAGTCCCTCTGGAGTAGTGTGGCTCTTGGCAGCTGTCGGAGGAAAGGAGAGACTCAGAATTTCCTATCTTGCTTGACCTAGGTTTTCCCCATCTTGCTAAGAACAACTGTTGGCTGAAACAAAATACCACAAAGTATTGAGAGGCAGCAGAGGGAGGCTGTGAAGAGCACAGACGTCTCGCCCAATCTACCATGCTGCATGGCCTGGCGTCCCAGCTCTGCCATTTATTTGCCACATGGCTTTGGCAGGGTGCTTAGCCTCTCTGTGGCCTGTCTGCTCTGTCATCTGACTAGGGGATTCTTAATGCCCTCCTCATGGAGTAGAAGTGAGGCAAGTGAGTTAATACCTGTGAAGAGTTTAGAACAGCGCCTGACACACGTTATTGTTACATAAGTGCTAACCAAAGAGATAGCTTCTATTTGGCTATTACATACATCATCAAAATTGGTTTCGACCCAATATTAATTCTTTTTTTATGAACTGAGCCGTCATAAAACTTGAGTTGTAAATTTTCAGGCTGTTGCTCCTGTAGATGAAATGAGTTGTCAATCACAGTGAGTATGAAATGACATCGGACAGGCATCCACCGTGCAAATGGAGTCCCATCTGGTGGTGGCCAAGCTGAGCGAAATGTTACAAAGAAGCTGGGAATGTTTCAGTCATTGGCCTGGCTCTTGTGTTTCCTTGTCTTTAAATCTAAGGGTAACCTCAGTGTAAACCAGATAAAACCAGACATGATCCAGGTGCCATAGGCCTGGAGCCCAGGCTCCCTGAAGCAACAACTCGAAACAACTGGTTTAATACCACAGGTCTGGGTATACCTTCTAAAATAGTTTTGCAGCTTGCCAAAATAATAATTGAGGTGAACGGATTTTATTTTGATGCTATCCATTAATAATAAAACATCAAACATAATTGGTCTTGGATTACTAGGCAAATTGAAAACTAAATAGTCAGTTTTGTGGCTTGAATATCTCATAACTCCAGAAATTGACATTTGTATATTGAGTCAGTTTTGATTATTTTGCTGTTTTTGGTTTATTCGGGCTTAAAAACATGATGGGGGAGAAAAGAAGACCTTTTGTACATGTGCTTGCCCCATGAGTGCTGTTTCATAGTGGATAAGTAGGGAATAATTCTCAAAAATAAAGTAGGAAGTAGTGTCTTTCTAGTTCTAGCTTAAGTACTGGTGTTTTTAAAAAATATTTATTTATTTTAGAGAGCGAGCATATGTGCATGAGCGGGAGGGGCAGAGGGAGAGAGAATCTTCAGGAGACTCCAGGCTGAGCATGGAACCTGATACAGGGCTTGATCTCACAACCCCAAGGTCATGACCTGAGCTGAAAGCAAGATACCTAGGTGCCCCTTAGTATTGGTGTGTTAAAAAAAAATTCCAAAAATCTAGTAAATGCTTTCTGCAGTTCCAGGCACATGGCTCTGCATTCAGAAGATAATAATTTATGGAGAGTAGGGAGTTGCCCTATTTATTTTCAGAAGAACTGGTTGCAGTTTTTACTTTCTTTTAGGTCTGAATTTGATTTTTCTTCACACTCCGCAGTCTGTGTGAAGAACTCACACACTGTTGCCAGAGCTCTGGATCAGGAGCATGGCTCAGGGACTGCTGGGAATGCTCTACTTCTGTCCCAGGTAGCATTGCATGAGGCATCGTTGCCCTTAGCTCTGCCTTCCTCAGAGTGCGGAGCAGGTGCTGACGGTGACAAGACCGTGACCTTCACACTATGTTTATTGCTCACTCAGACTACTGTCTCAGTCACTCCAGCTTTGCCAACAGATGTCAAAGATGAAGAGACAGATAGAGGAATGGAAGCCTGTGGACTATTTGTATGACAAGAGACATGTTTTCTTAAAAGACCGTCATGACTTACAACCTTGCCTTTTAAGAGGCCAGTGTTAGATGCCATAATTTTTAGCCCGCTTTCTCCTTCATGTGGGCATTTTCTGTCTCAAGTGAGGGATATAAAGCATATCTGGAAAGGCAGCTAAAGGAAGCTGGGAATGTGGTAGGAGTGAATTTGTTTGGTGGTCCTGGGATCAGTGCTAGTGATGGTGGGATACCTCCAACCCTTCTTGTTCAAAGTAGGCATCCCCCACAGCTCTCACCATGGGAGTGAGAGGGCGTGGACTCCTCCACCAGCCTGTAATGTCTGCCAAGCTGCTCATCATTTCTGTCTGGGATACCTGCCCTGGACCAGTTCAAGGCCAGATCACATGGGGTGCTGGCCTCCGAAGCGCTCTGTGTTTCCATCTTCCCCACCACAATCAGGATGCCGTGTGTACCACATGCAATTAAGCACTAAATTGTGTAATGCTCACAGAAATCAATAAGCCCTCTGGTTTCCTTGAGGACGAGTTGTAAATTCTGCACGATGAGTTCTATCTCCCTGGCTGCATTTCTTGGACAGAGGTGCTGAAATCAAGGTTGGAATGTTGCAGTGGAAACCTTTAAAAAAAAAAAAAAAAGGTAAGCCTGATTGGACACGTTTACTAGCCTGTGTCTTTGTCCCATTAGCACCTCAGCACGTGATAGGGAGTTGAATATCTGTTGTGGCTGATCCTTAGCTTTTTCATCTGTGTAATTCTTTGGTTACTTTGAATTGCCCATTTCTTTTAGGACTTCAGACCTCTTACCCCATGAGCCTCAGGAACCACCTTAAAGGTTATTGAAATCCCATTATCCACTGGGTGCTTGAATTCCTCTACAGGAAGGAACAGTCTTGAAAGGAAGATTTTGAGCCTTATGCCCTTTTGAAGCTCACTGTCTTATAAACTGAGACGTCAGCCACAAACAGGGTGCCTTACATGTAACATAATTCCTCATCAGTCTTCACCGATCACTAATTGTGTGCCCAGCCCCAGTGCTTTCTGAAGGGACTGAAGCTTGGCTGTGTAGTTACGGAACAGAAGTGACACAGCTGCTCCCCCCTTGTTGGTTCTTGTCGAGGGAGTGGTAGCTGCCGTGTTGGGTGGCTTTCCACACCATTGCATGCATAGAGTTGTTAACTCTGTGTCTGACACTGACTTCTTTGACCCTCACCACAATCCCATGAAATACATATTATGGAACCCTTTTTAGAGGTGAATAAACTAAGGCTCAGAAGTACTAGAACTTCTCCAAAGTAGGGCAGAAGGGCTGGTGGTAGGATTTAAACTCTGGTGTCTCTGATTCTGGAGTACAAGCTCTACCTACCCACCCTGTGACGTGCTAATGTTTTGCAGGTATTTAATTCTGAACATCTGTCATTTTCTCAACAGACTCCACGAAATGAAACGGGGACGCTTATGGCTGCATCTCGTGCTGCTTGGGGCCTCCCTGCCAGCTGCGCTGGGATGGATGGACCCAGGACCCAGCAGAGGCCTGAACATGGGTGTGGGTAACCCACAGATGGAGGTATGGTCACATAACACCTGCTAGGATGCTTGAAACTTGCTGCTTTTCCATGCCAGTGTATCTGATTTCTTCTCTACCTTTGGCTTATATCAGTTAGATTGCAGTGTGAGTTAAAATTGTTCCCCCTTTTTGACAGGGGACAGAAGGACACAGCATGCACTGGTCTGGACAGGAGGTTTTATGTCATGCTGTAAGTGATAGTCTAAAATCTCTGCAATGCTGAAAACGTATTCCAAAACCAGGCTTCAGTTGTATGGTTTGTCTTCCGCAAAGAGCCTCAAGAGAATGGCCTTTTTGTATATTTAATAAAACTCTGAAAATGCAGACTCAGTGGTAGAGCACACCCATGTGAATTAATGAAGTCTTTTAATTACAAAATGTGTTTTAAAAGAGAGAGACTCCTTTTCACGTACCCAGATAAAAAACACCAGGCTGAGAAAGAACTGGCAAGTAGGGGTCCTAAGGGAGCCTGTCTTAATGAACAGATAAGAATGATTAATGGCATGTTAGGTATATATAAATGCTTCTAAAGTGCTTGAAAAACTTATTCTCAAATGCCTCCCCAGAGAGTCTCTATACGCTGCTAATTGCTCCACGAACTTGGTCTTAAGTACCGGAGAGGATTCATAAGCTGTACCCTCGCCCTGCTCAGGTAGTAGGCCTGAGGAATTTGGGGCTTGTGAGGGGGTGCAGTTTCTCTGCAGAAATTGCTTTGTGCGTGCCAGACCCTACCTGGGTCATAAAGAAAATCCCAGCTACTTGGGATTTTCTTTATGACATGGTAAATGCAAATTCTTGCCCAAGAGCTTCTCCGGCCATTTCAGCTCCCATTGCCTTCCTGGTGCACGCCTGCCTCTTTTCTCTGTGCTTGTTTCCCGTCCTGTGGAATGAGAGAGAAAAATTACCTCCCAAAGTCAACATCACCAGAGAGTGAATAATGACACACAGTGTATGGATGGTAGGATTAATGCATTGTTTGATCAAAAGACACAATGTCTTTCTCATTATTACTTAATCATAATGCAATCCCAGACCTACAGACCTTAATCTCTGGGGAGCTTCAGAAGTCTTTGAATGCCCACGTTTGCTGCTGAGGTTCACGTGGCTTCCTTTTGTGGTGAGCGGGTGATTGAAAAGCGTCTCTCTCCCATCACAGTCCGTGAAGGACACGACTTAATGGTCTTTTGAAAGAGCCTGGAGGCTGACTCCCTAGCCAGCACAGCATTTCCCATATGGGATGGCTTAATCATTACACTCATATCCATACAGAGGGAAAAGGATCCTACAAATATATTGTTGAATATTTAATAGCAAAGCAAACAGGCAAACACACAGATAAGCTTTTTTAGTCTTCTTACTATTGGGCCTCATTGGCCCACTCTTTTAAATTGCCTATTTCAATTAAAGGAGTCAAACCAATTAAGGTAGGATTTAGCTGGAGGTAAAGTGAAGGTAAGTTAATATCAACCTAAGGCATCTTTATCTTGGCTGTTAACAGCCTAACACCAAGAAAGAGCAGATAGTGCTCATTCCGAGGCAGGAAGGCTTTCTGTTGGTTAGTTTTGGGGTGTTGTTTTTCTTGCCGCATCAGGATAGAGCCCAGGAGATGAAGCCCTCTCCCATTTCCAGGCCTTGTGCTGTTTCGGGAAAAGGAAATGATGCCCGTATGGACTCCAAATGCAGGAACAGCTGCCCTATCAATCCAGTATTCATGGCTGTGCATGGCATTTTTGCAAAGTGTAATAACTTGTACTCGTGGAGTCTGTTTTTATCAATGATGAAATGAGAAGATGGTCATGTGGATGGGCCTAGGATATAGGACAGCCTCAGCAAAGTTCCGATAGGGCAGGACATGGATATGGAACTGATGTGTTCTGATTCTGACCATGCTCCGTGCATGGCCTCTCCATGCCATTCCTCACTAGCATCATGTGTTGGATTCTGTCCCTTCATCCCACATACTGACTCCTCTCCTCCAGGGCTTAGCTCTGGTTCTCATCTTTTCTTTGGAACCTTCTTGGAGCACACTTTAGTCAAATTTGATGTCGTGTTCTGAACTAGTCTTTTTTTTTTTTAAATCCATATTTTTATGTTAGCAGACGAAGGAAGCCAATTTTATATATGTTTCCCTTCCTTACAATGTCCAATAATTTTCAGAGCACAGTAGAGACTCATTGTGTTTTTGAGCTGATTGGTATTCAACATTCAGTATTAGTGGTGAAGTCACTCTAGTGTTGTCAAACTTCAGTGTAGACAGTCAGTAATTTCTGTGCGTGGCAGCCCAACCTGCGCGGCAGGTGCATGTCCAGTGGGGACATGAATGGTCCCCCAGCCAAGCTGTAGGCAGCTTATTGGCCAGGCTTGTCGCTCATCAACATCCAGGTATTTCTCCTTTGGATTGTAGCTACTAATATGTCCATAACTGACTGTCCAGACTATACTAAACTCCTCTAGGAGTTTCCAGACAGTCTTACTTTCTGGAATAATCATAGCCAACTGAGTTTCCTGAGACTCCATAAATTAATCAGGACCTAAATGGTAAAACGTTTCTGTGTGTGTTTTCTTCCTGCTAGTACTACTTGGCAAAAACATTCATTGACTTCAGATTTTTAAAGTACTTGGAAAGCATTAATAAGATTTGGCTTCCCTTTAAAGTTATTACACCAATTACTTGAGCATCCTAAGGGTAAATAAGGATGAAATGACCAGAGCATATGTGCGTTCACTCATTTGTAAAGCAATGACAGCGTATGTAAGTTTTGTTAAATTATTGTTTTATGTACAAAGACTGCAGTTGAAATAGCTTCGAGGAGTTTATCGTTTTACAAATGTAGATGAAACGAAGTGGAGCTGGGTGGAGTGCCTCTTTAATAAGAACTGAGTGGCAGACTGTGGCCTAGAATACTAATGAAATTCTGAATTCAGAGGAAACAGTTCTGAGAGATACAACTCAACAAAATTCTAAAATAATTAAAATCTCCCCCTTTCCCCTATTCTCTGGCCAAGGTAAATGTAGTACTAAAATCAGTATTAGTAGAATTTTATATTTGGGGAGAATAGGAAAGTGAGAGAGGTCAGCCCCAGGGCCCCGCCTTCTTCTGAGGGGCAGACATTTGTGGGAGGGTTCCCCCTGCCTTCCAGCCCTCACTGCTGGGTTCCCACTGTTCGCTGGGATCTCGGATTGGATGGTGGCCGTTAACAGCCTTATGTGTCCTTCATATATCCTGCTGTACCTTCTCCACCTTGCTCTGACCCACAGTTATAGTCCTGTACTAAATATGCCTCAGTGCTTACAGACCAGGGAAGGGCTGTGAGGTCAGACACCCAGTGTTTTCAATGTGTGCAAGCTGTGAGAGGGTAGTTTTTGAGGAATAAATGTTTCTGGTGGTCTCAGTAATCAGGGTGGTCACCCACCTCCCTAACCCCAGGAGAGTCAGCCTAAGAAAGCACATACTAGCCCTTTGCCCTTCTGCACGTATTAGTCCTAGATGCCACTGACTGCACCCAGGGGTGCCCCCGTCCCTGGGTGGGGGTGTCTCCTAAGGCAGAGACCTGGAGTGCTCCGGCTTCCTTTTACATTTGTTGGGCATTGAGGAAGATGGAGGCTGCTAAGACTGGGCATTAATTTTTTAAAAATAGTTCTTTTCTTGAGTTAGTGTTGTTACTGTTATGTAGCTGATTGATTTTAAGACAACGCTCCTCTAGTTATGGTCTCCTCCCCACCCCCAACCCATGGTCCACTCTTCTGACTGGTGATGGAGAGAGTAGCTGATCTTGTGGGCTTTGAGGCATCCATTATTCACCTCTCCTTCCTCTTGCCCCTCCATCTGTGGGTGTGGGAACACCACCTCCCTTCTCCCTGCAAACAGTTGGGGTCCGGGCTGGTATTTTCTGAACCTCATCTGTAGACCTATGTGCATGTCTTATGGATGTTTTCTTTGGGGTCCCCATTCCTAGACACTCAATGGTACCAACTCCGACATTTAACTGGCTTGCCACAGTGAGCTTCTAGGTGAGCTCTCCCAGCAAAGGGCCTGAGTGGGCCTTCCCCGGGGCATGGGACTGCGGGCTACAACCCCCTTGGAGGATCCAGGACCTCTGTACATCTGTAGACCTGGCATGGGGAGGGAGGGGAGGGTGGCTTCTTCTCTGATTCTGGAATATTCGGGCATGGCTGCCTACTGACAATTCTCCATCAGACGTGTGGATTTTTAGTTTCTCAGCTCAAGTTGGGAGAACAAAACCTCTCATCTGCTGATGTGTGAGTAAATCCCTAGTATTCTTGGTGAAAGATGGTGGCGAGTACTGCAAGTTCCTAGGGGCATTGGAGGAGCCAGTTCTTACCTTTGGAGTTAGTGCGGGCTGTGCCCTACACCAGCCTCTCTTGAACTTCAGTGTGCTTGCAAAGAGCGGGGGGGTCCTGTTAAAATGCCGATGCAGTAGAGCTAGAGGGGATGGAGGGGATGGTCCTGAGAGTCTGCCTTTCTCGTGAGCTCCAGGTGATGCTGATACTTATGGTCCCGGGGACACTGGACACAAAGGCCATAGAGGAGTCCCCTCTACCCTGCCTGCGTACATCCCAGAAGGAGATTCGTTTGGTGATGAAACCCAGCTTTTTTATTTGTTTTTGTTTTTGTTTTTTAGCTTTTGTCAATGTGACAAGGCTGCCTGTAGTCAGCAAAAGGAGCTGAATGTACAGGGTGCCATCCTGCTGGGAGATAGCTTCACACTGGGCGGGCTTGCAGGCAGGTGGGCGAGGGAAGTAGCCTGGCTTCCAGAGTCTTTTTCACCTATTTTGAAGCAAGCAAGTGGACAGACAAGCTTGGCTCTCTGTGTGTAGGGTTCCTCACTGTTTGGGTGCAGGCGATTTAAATCCTGAGGGTCCGCCCACACTCTCGTGCTCCCACCCATCACTGTCTCTCTGTCACTCATACTGGTGTCCTGCCCAGTTCCTTTCCCCAGAGCCCAGCCAGACTTTTCTGGGGATGCATCTGCTGGGC